TCACTTTCCAACATTTGGAAATAAACCACAGATACTTGCAAAACCTTAATATGGAAATTATTAAAAAATGCAGTCAGGTTTCCTTTCAAACTCAGTTTCTTTCTTTGGTGGAACTAGGAACATGTGTAAGCAGGACAAGATTTTCTGTATGTGTATGGAAATTAAGATTCAGGAAAATCATCATTATTCTTTAATTATCTGACTTTGGCTGGGCTCTCAGTGCAGCTTGGCAACCCTGTTACTTGTCCCTGGACGACTCCCTCTGTGAGTCCTCTTGAGGCAGCTGTTGGAAATCTTTAAACTTGTGCCATGCTTCTCATCCGTGGTTCTCAGCTTTGGCCTTGCTTTGTAATTTACAGAGAATATAGCAGCTCTGAGAAGAGTTCTTGGACCTTCCTTACTTCTACCCTCAGCCTCACTTGTGGAAGCACAACACATCGTTTCATATTTCTCCCTCAGTCTTGAACAAAGAGGGTTTTTCCTCATTCCAACAGAAACCTTTCAGGTTCGTCATCATCTGGCCTCCTCTCTAGATGCACATTCCTTGCTTTACCTCTTCTCTGGTTTCCTCTCTTCAGCCTGCAGATGAGATCAAGGCTCATCTTCACCATCTATGACTGCCTCAACCACCTGCCAGCTCTTGTCCCAGCTACCTTTGCCCCTTTGTGCACAGTTAACTCTTTCACCGGCCATCAGCTCCCAGCTCTGCATCTCTGCTCTGTATCTGGTTCTTTACTTTGCCTTAGGAGATCAGTTTCTCAGTTTCTGTTCTTGTGCGTTTCCCTCATTGTACCTTTTAAGTGCTCCTCATTTAAATCAGGTCCAACTCAACTTGTTGGGCCAAAGTTTGGCTCTTTCTGCCAGGAAAAGGAGTTTAGACATTCTCCTGAACTATCAAGTTCTTTGGAAACCGTGTTTCACAGCACACTTTCTCACACAGCGCAAGCGCACTATTTCTCTCTCAGTTTCCACTCACTTCTCATCCGGTGAAGCGGGACTCGCTACGATTACCAATGACTTTCTAATTGCTAGACCCCATTGCCTGTTTCTAATTTGCAACATCATCTCATATTTTAACACTACTGGCTGTTTCTGAATTTAAAATTTTTATTTATTTATTTAAAAAATTTATTTGACAGAGAGGAAGAGATCTTCCATCCACTGGTTTACCCCCTAAATTTGCACGACAGCTGGGACTGGACCAGGCCAATGCTAGGCACTTGGAATTCAATCTGAGTCTCTCATTTGTGTGTGTCAGGGACTGAAGGACTGTACTACTTCCCAGGGTGCTTATTAATAGGCAGCTGGAAAGAAATGGAGCGAGGACTTGGGCCCAGACACTCTGATATGAGATGCAGGTGCCCTAAGCAATGTCACACCTGTGCCAAACACCCCACCCCCTTCTTCTGACTTCTTCATGTTTCCCTGCCATTGGCTTAAGGACCACAAACCAGTATATTCATCTTTACTGATTACTTACTGCTCTGCTTCTTAATAAAGTGAAATTTTAGGGCCGGCGCTGTGGTGCAGCAGGTTAACGCCCTGGCCTGAAGCACTGACATCCCATATGGGCGCTGGTTCATGTCCCGGCTGCTCTTCTTCAAGTCCAGCTTTCTGCTATGGCTTGGGAAAGCAGCAGAAGATGACCCAAGACCTTGGGCCCCTGTACCTGCATTAGAGACCAGGAAGAAGCTCCTGCCTCCTGGCTTTGGATCGGCACAGCTCTGGCAGTTGTGGCCATCTGGGGAGTGAACCAGAGGATGGAAAGACCTCTCTCTCTGTCTCTACCTCTCTCTGTAACTCTGTCTTTCAAATAAATAAAAACAAATCTTTAAAAATAAAGTGAAATTATACATGATCTATTACAATGTAGGGGAGAAGAAAGGCAAGAAAATAGACAAATACAATTTCAAAATATAAAATCTATGGAAAAGCCCATACCTGTGGCTATAGGATCAACGAAGATGTGGCTTATTTCCAACTTGAGGTTTGAAGGGTAACTAAGAACTCCCCAGGCAGGATGGGGCCAAGACTGAGAGTTCCAGACAGAAGGAGTGACACATATCAAGATCCAAAGGAGAAAAGAACATGGATGTTCCAATAACTTCAAGAAATTCAGTGTGATTGGAACAAAGCATTTAGCATGTGTATTTTAAGAAATGGGCTTGGCTAGATAAGTGGGGACCAGGTTATGGAAGTCTAAATGAGCCATTTTAGAGAGTTTGGAAATTATAGAAGACAATGAGAAGCTCCTGTATGATATTATATAGGAGAACAAAGTGATCAGAGTCCTGTTTTAATGATATATTGCTTTGGTTGCTAAATAGAAAATGAAGTGGGTGAGGGTTAGAGTGGTGGGCCCTGATTAAAAGATTGTGGTAAAGGCCGGCGCCGCGGCTCACTAGGCTAATCCTCCGCCTTGCGGCGCTGGCACACTGGGTTCTAGTCCTGGTCGGAGCGCCGGATTCTGTCCCAGTTGCCCCTCTTCCAGGCCAGCTCTCTGCTGTGGCCAGGGGGTGCAGTGGAGGATGGCCCAAGTGCTTGGGCCCTGCACCCCCATGGGAAGACGAGGAGAAGTACCTGGGCTCCTGCCATCGGAATCAGCGTGGTGCGCCGGCTTGCAGCGGCCATTGGAGGGTGACCCAACAAGCAAAGGAAAGACCTTTCTCTCTGTCTCTCTCTCTCCTCTCACTGTCCCACTTCTGCCTGTCAAAAAAAAAAAAAAAAAAAAAAAAGATTGTTGTCGGAATGTAGCCAAAGTGGTCCTGGCTTGATCCAGTAGGTGATCTGGCTTGCAAGAAGTGAAAGGAAGTGATGGATTTTAATGATGTTAAATAAAAATAATGGAAAAGACTTGGTAATTGATTGAACTATTCCCTTCAGTTATCCTTGGTTCCTTGCTTCCTTGCAGCTAGATGCCTAGATGGTAATGCCTCAATAATGTAAAATAGACACGTATGATTTTATGACCACAAACATCTATATAGGAATAGCTATGGGAAAGTGGAGAGGAGACAGTGTGAAACTGTTGTAATCATTCCAAACACTTGCACTGTGGTGATCCTAAGGTATCGAGAATCCTGTCTTTCCATTTGGGATAGTCATAATTTCCTGAAAGACCGCACATTCAAATTTCACTTTTCACTTATTGGGTACATCGTTAATGAGCATCCAGCAAGTCCTCAGGCAATATTCTGTGCACCAGGAATAGGGTGGTGGATAAAGAATGCTAGGTTCCTGTGTTCTTGGAAGTTCTTCCTTTTGCTTTGTACTTTGCAAGCAAAGGTGTAGAATAGTGGAGATAAGGGATGCACCAAATGCCCTTTTCATATACTCAGAACTTCCCATACCAAATTTTCCATCTTCCCAAAAAGAGCCTTGTATTCTGGAGGGCCCCCAAAAGGACTCCAAAGAAGAGACATCCTTGACCAATTTGACCCAGCAGGACTGTGGGCATGGAGAGTAAGAGTTGGAAACACTCTATTCAGAATTATTATTTTTTCACTGCTGAATTATATCAGACTTTTATTTATTTATTTTATCTTTTTATTTCAGACTAGTTTTAAGTTTACAAAACAAAAATGACCGAGTTGTACAAAGTGTTCCCATATACCCTACACCCCTACACTCAGGTTCCCCTATTATTAGCAGCTTATGTTAGTATATTTCTCATAATCCATAAAACCACACCCAACCTCCCTCTACCCCTCCACCCTTCCCAGCCTTTAGTGAGCAACATTCTGTGTTCATATTGAGTTTTTTTTTTTTTTAAGCCTCTGTGTAAGTGTAAGAACATGGCAGTATTTGTCTTTCTGGCTCTGACTTACTTCACTTAACATGGTGTTCTCTAGTTCCATCCATTTTGCTGCAAGTGACAAGATTTCATTCTTTTTTTTGACTGATTGGTGTCCCATTGTGTATGTGTAGCACATTTTCTTTATCCATTCACCTGATGATGCATACCTCGGCTGGTTTCAAGTGTTGATTATTGTGAACAGTGCTACTATAAATGTGGCAGAGCAGGAATTTCTCTGATACTGTGAGTGCATAGCTTTTGGGTGTATACCAAGTAGTGGGATCGCTGGACCATATGGCAGTTCTATTTCTGGATTCTGAAGAAATCTATATGGTTTTCCTTAGTGGCTTACTAATTTTTATCTCCATCAACAGTGTATAAGAGTTCCCCTTTGTTCATATCCTTGCCAGCTTTTGCTACTTTCTATAGTTTTGATGATAGTCATTCTAACTGAGGTGAGGTGCTAGCTCACTGTGATTTTGATTTACAATTCCCTAATAGCTAGTGATTCTGAGCATTTTTCAAATATATCTGTTGGCCATTTGTATTTCTGCTTTGAGAACTGTCTATTCAGGTCCTTTGGTCATTTCTTTATTGGATTCATTGTTTTTTAGTTGTTGAGTTTTGTTGAGTTCCTGATATATTCTAGATATTAATCCTTTGTTAGATAAATAGCTGAAAATATTCTGATTAAACATTAATGAGTTTTCTTTTTTCAAAAGGGTTGGCATAGGAAAGAAAATGGAGAAATCACAAAATACAAGCCTATGCAAAAAGTTTCAAGGATGACTTAAGAAATTTAACTGACAAAATTCCAGTCTGTTCTATGGAATGTTGAGGACACCTAGTGACACAACAAACGTTAATAGTTCTTCGTTTTTGTATGATCACCCTGTTTGGTGTAACTGAGGCCCCAAATGAGTTCCAAAGAATATCAAGGTGTGAATACAAATCACCAATCTTGTGAAATCAGTTTGACAATCAAATAAAGCAAATTCTCGACTTGTCTTTCTATCACACAGTACACAGAACACTAACGCCATTGAGTTGGTTTGAGAATAAAGATGAGGAAATTGTCAGTCATTAGGTGCTGCGCTAGCAAATGGAAGTAATGTTTGATAGGCCATTTATTACCAATTTCAATTCAGTTTTATGGGCACAAGCATGTTATGTTTCACCATTTCTTCTTCTTTTTCATAAAAAGAAAAGCAGAAATAAGGACATTCACAATATCCAGTGTTACAGGGAGGAGAAAGCACTTGCAACCATGAGGGTACTGAGAAAAGGCAATGGACAAATTTGTATTTGTGGAACAAGGAATCTTTCCGATGAAGGTGAGAAACAGCATACAATAGCATGCTTCTTGGAGAAGCTTGGATCCTGTTTTTTTTGTTTTTGTTTTTTTTTTTTTTTTTTTTTTTTTTTACAGGCAGAGTGGACAGTGAGAGAGAGAGACAGAGAGAAAGGTCTTCCTTTTGCCGTTGGTTCACCCTCCAATGGCCGCCGCGGCCGGCGCGCTGCGGCCGGCGCACCGCGCTGATCCGATGGCAGGAGCCAGGAGCCAGGTGCTTTTCCTGGTCTCCCATGGGGTGCAGGGCCCAAGCACCTGGGCCATCCTCCACTGCACTCCCTGGCCACAGCAGAGAGCTGGGGATCCTGGTTCTGTATTAGCCCCAGAGCTGTTAGGCACAAACTGGGAGAGCAGTTTGATGTAGGAAGAGCAACTCTGTTACTTCTACTTTGAGTCACTTGTTTGAATTTGGGAACATTTCTTCCCCAAGGAATTTGAGCTCCTGATTTTTCAAAAAAAAAAAAAAAAAAAATCTCTGTGACTCGATAATTGAACACACTTTCTAGAAGTGTTGTGCATATGAAATGTGTCAAACATCTATGGGGCCAGCATATGAGATCCAGTTCAAGCCCTGGTGGTTTTACTTCTGATCCAGCTCCCTGCTAATGTACCTGGGAAAGCAGCTTAAGCTGACCCCTGTCTGCCACTCACAGGGGAGACCTGGATGAGTTTCAGGCTCCTGGCTTTGGCCTGGCCCAGTCCTGGCTGTTGAGGCCATTTAGGGAGTTAACCAGTGGATGGAAGATCTCTCCGTGTCTTTCCCTCTTTCTCTGTTACTCTGTTTTTCAAATAAAATAAATAAAGCATTAAGAAAAATCTAGTACATTATTGAGCACATGATCTGTGTTCAATCTATGAATGCTATCGTTATTATTTTAAATATACAATAGCACTTCTATATACTTCTCAAAACATTTTGGTACATTAATTATTAACTTCAGTGCACAGATTGGAACATCAGCAAAAAGTATATAGAGCATTTATCTTAAGCCACAGAGTTCAGAAAAAAAATTCTAGGGGTCCATAGTCCTTGCAGTATAATTTGCTCACTGAGATCCAGTCTGTCTTTTACGTGAAGACTTTTGGGGATTGGCTCAAGGTTCTGAGTGTTCAGTTCCAATGGAGAGACACTGTCAAAACAGCTTGATAATGTTAGCGCGTTTGTCCTTGTCTTAAGCAAGAGAGTCCTTTTACTACTCTTCTGCCCATGGTTCTGGGGCTACCGAAGCCCAGCAAAGAGCACGTCCATCATCATTATTAACTCACAGCTCACTTGGAATTTAACAAACATATTGAACTCATTGCTACCTCCAGAGAAAAGCAAAGCATAGTATGGAAAATTTAAAACTATATTTAGTTGCCTTATTTTAGCAAAAAATTCAACTTTTTTTTTCTTTTTAGCTTACAGAGCCTTTTGCAGAAGTACAGCTATGGATTAAACCTGACGGGTGTGTGGGGAGCAAACCGGACTAGACTGAGTTACTGGAATTAAGACTTATTCTATGCATCTGCTCTCCCACAATATGGCGCTGGGAGAGAAGTAAACAGCTTCCGCACAGCTGCCTCCAGTTCAACCAATAAACTGTAGGACTTGCTCCTGATTGGAGGAGAGCAGCGTACTCGGCGTGTGGGCAGCCGAGTTAGGATTGGCGGAGGAGGACTATAAAGGAGGAGAGAGACGGCATGCACCGGGAACATCTATAGGGAACATCTAAGGGGAACACTTGTGCAGCCCCCGAGAGAGCCGGCCGGCGGTGTGCCGCTCCCCCGCGGAAGTGGGGAATGTGGCAGGGGGAACCGCCCTTCCACGGAGGTGGAAGGGATAGTAGCCAACCCGGGAAGAACCAGCAGCAAACCCGGGGAGGGCCGAGCAGACGAAAGAACAGCGCAGGGTCCTGTGTCGTTCCTCCACGAAGAGGGGGAGCGACACGGGTGGGAACATGTGGTATATCTGTGTGATGCACACACTTGGGTGCTCCCTTCCCTACACACACACACACACACACACACACATTGCCATCAGCATGTCAGGTACGTGGAATTTGAATCTTTAAAAAAATTCTTTAGAGACTGATAAAATGTTTACATGACAAAACAGTGAAAATTTGTGAAATTTGACAAATTACTCCTAAATATCCCTTTCTTTCTTAATCTGTTCTTGAGATGTCGCCCAAAATTCTGAGCTGGACTTAGTGATATATCTTCTACTCATGTCAAGTATTTTGTTAACATCAGTATGGATTTTGCTCATGTAAAAAGCCCTGGATCAGGGCCCCAGACATGTGAAGCAGACAAGAAGTATTCTAAAGATGCCAGAGAATAAGAAGTGTCAAATAAGTGTCCACTGTGAGAGCAAACATCCCTGGCTGTCCATTAGCTGCAATAAACAGAGTGCATTTGGCAATGTATCATTTGACATAGATTTACAAAACAGTTTGCCAAATCTTTTTTTTTTCTTTTCCAAATGAGATGTCAGTGAATGAAAACAGAGGGGCTTGGTGGTTTCATTATTGGATAATTGTATAATATTGTATAATAAAGTTGTGTCTCCTGATACTCAAGGTTTGTATAGTACACAAAGATGGCAATTTGGCAGGGGAGTCAATACCTTTTTCACCAAAGTTTTAATCACTGGCTTAGACAACCAGTTCTGTTTGTTATAGCCCCATTCTGGAGTAAATAACCATGGTCAACTTCCAGGTATATATGAGTAAGCATTTCTGAGGGGAATTTAATTCGACATACTATTTTTAAAAAATCCTGTCTTTGGAATTGCATCTTGTAAATGAAGGCATCACAAACATGAATTCCACATCTCTTGTTTGGCCTTTAAAAGAAACTTTAAAATCAGTGTCCATTTATTCTTGTGCTCACATTTAATTTCATTTGCATGTGACTAAGTTTGTTTCTTTTTGGTGAATATAACTTGCTAGCATCTTCTTCTCCTCCCCCCAACAAAGAACAGCAGCCTCTGAGGTGGGGCTGCCAGCTTCAGCAAGGAGCATTGCAGGTAAATTTGATCTCTACACTTTTCAGGTTTCTCAGTTGTGATCAGTGACATTTGGCCTGATGAAGGAAGCTCTGGGACCTGGACAAACACAAAGCATGCTACTGTTCTGACATGCAGAATGCCTGGTGCTCTGTGTTATCTTTCAGGGGCTGCAGTGATCTGGATAAATAAGACCAAATTGGGCTAACCACTGTTCTTGGCCGCACTCACGCAGCTGTTCTCAGAAGCTAATAGGAGCTGTGTGTGTACATCCAAGGACAGAATTTGGCCCTTTTTGTCTTTGCAGTTTTTTTAGTTGAGATGATTATTCCTGAGTGACTGTTTTATAAGCAATGTTTTGGCCAGTTTAAATCTTGTTTCACTCTATTCCTCATAGTCAAGACATTTATGAATATGGAAACGTGTAGCACAAGTCTTCAGTTCCCAGAAAAATAAAAATCTCCCCAATAAAACCTGTGAGTATTGCAGATGAACTGGAAAAGAGATAAAGCAAGTCATTTAAACAGTGGTTAAAAAAAATAGAAGCAACACCAAGAAGAAGTATTAACATTCATTGTTGGTAATACTACAATACAATTTTTTTTAATTTTAAATTTATTTTACTTATTTGGGGAGGTGTAGGAGGAGAGCAAGAGAGAGAGAAAGAGAGAGAGATTGGAAGAGAGAGACATCTGTCATTCCATTCACTTCTCAAATGTCTGCAACACATGGGGCTGGGCCTGGCTCAAGCCAGAAGCTAGGAACTCAGTCTGGGTCTCACATGTGGGTGGTGGGCACCCAACTACCTGATCCATCACCTGTTGCCTTTTGGTGTACCTTAGCAGGAAGCTGGAATCCAGAGTACAGCTGGGTTTCAAATCCATTCAGTGCCCTATGGGACCCAGCCCTCTCATGATTAAAATGTTTACATTTAATTTTATATTAAAATGTCTATCTTTGACCTTTCAAAAGGAAAAACTGTCATTAAGTAATATTTCCCAAAAAAAATACAGACCATCAAACACATTTATTTATTTAGATATGAAAAATCTAAAATTAGCTCTCATTATAACTCCTTTGTCTCTTCTAACAGATATCACATAAATCTGGATGTTTTCCAAAGCCAAACCTTTTGAAGTAGAAGAGAGTCAGTGTGACAAAAGTTTTTATTACTGGAAATTGCAACCTTGGTTCATCTTTGAATTTCCTTCTAGAAAATAATGCATACAAACAGGGCCCTAAGGTTTTGGAAGGGATTTCTTGCATAAATCAATATGTGGTATGAATAATAGGAGCGATTTGCTAGAATCTCTTGGCTTTTTGAGACATTTACCAGGTTTAGCTCATTTCCTTTGTGCTTTGAGCAAGCATCCTTATTTATAGTTCCTTGTTGCCCTTTCTCTGAAGATAATCGATTTAAGAATGTGCTTAGTTACTCATTGGAGCAGAGACTTTCAAAAGTTCATAGTTATATACATTATCCATGCCAATTTATCAATAATTGCAAGTTAAGTACATTCACTTTTTTGCAGGATTAGTAATCCTTTATATAATAATTTATGCAAAAATGATTCCATTGGGTTCTTTGAGTGGTTGATAATTTGTCTAAAATAGTGAATTTTTTTTATTACCTGTCAGTGTGAACAGATTCCAGGTATTTGAGACCCTCATATCTCTGCTTGAAACATTTTGAATATCAACTCCAAAACCTCGACATTAATAAAACATTAAAGTTCCAACTTAAGCCCATAAAAGTCAAGAAATCCAGAGTTAAGGTCGACCCAGCTCTCTTAACTCGGTTCTCCTGCATGCATGCATGGGTGATAGGACAGCGGTGCAGGCTGTTGCTTAAATCAGTCTTCTTGCATAATCTGAAAATGTAATTGAATTAGTGTATAAAGTATTTACATACCCTGCAGTGGAGAGCCCAGCACACTATATTATCCACATCCCCTCTCAGGGCCCTCATTTTAACTCCTCACTGCAGTGTTCCTGCGAGGCTTCCTCAAACATTCAGAAATTGGACTTGCAAATACAATTTCCCTTCTTTTATGAGGCTTCAAGATGAGTGATGCACACTCAGCTTTCCTAGTTGCCTTTCAGCTCCTGGCCAGACAGATAGAGTTTGGGTTACATTCTTCCTTTTGGGTAACATCCTCAGGCTTTGCTAGGTATTAGACAATGTCATTTTGTGACTAAGGATTGTTTTATGCTCTAATTCAACTAGATGCAGGCAAATTGGCCTTATTAATATGAAAATTAAAACATCAGATTGAGTTTAAGAACATTGATGGTAGTAGGGCAATGATTTAAGGGGGTGGAATTTGGCTTCAGACAGCTGCATTATTTGACTGAATCTTTGTTCTGTCCCTCACTGCTATTTAACTTTCTTGAACCTCTGTTTTTCCCTCTGTAAAATGGGATAATAATAGACCTTATGAATTTTGCAATTTGAAGAGATGGTATGTATAAAATACTTGATATGTGGTTATATTGTAAGTTGTTGCTATTGTTATTGGCACTCATTTTGGTAGAAAAAAATAACACAATACTTCAATTCCCATCTTTCCTTTTATCTGTCATCAAGTATGGGACTGGGACAGTTCTCAAGTATGGGACAGGGGCTCCAAGTAGAGTTCAAATGTTTAGAAGTGTTAAAAACTAAATTGAACAATAGCCATACAAAAAGAATGGTCATCCTCACCTATATTTCAAGAAAGTACAATGATACCATTTTCATAGTTCCAATTGGAAAGCATGAAAAAGACTGATAACATCCAATGTAGGGTATGGGGCAACAGGCTTCACACACACCATCATTAGTATAAGCTGATATACCATCTCGATGGGTATTCTGGCAGTGTATATAAAGATTTTAAACATGCGTGTTATCTGACTCAGCAATTCTGCTAGAAATTATGTTAAGGAAATAATCAGGTTAAGTGTTTAGGAATATAGTGGAAAGAATCTAAATGTTCATATGGGACCATTAAGATCAGTTATGGTACAATCTTATCGTGGGATACCATGTAACCATTAAACATGGATGTGTTTTAATGTTAGGTTTGAATGGGTTTCATAAATTCTATGACAGACATTTGAAATGTCTTTATGGCAGGTAATTGAAATGATTTCAGTTTTTCTCAATAACTGTTACCATTATTTTTGTGGAACTCCCCTCTTTATTTCAGGGTAGTGCATTTTCTTAACCACAACTCAACCATTCTGCAGAACTCTTCAAGCACTTTTGGTTATTTAAATAGTTTTATTTAGTTTATTGAGATTCAGGGTCAGCTCTCTGGGCTTGTGATCTGTGTGGTCACAAAGGGCCCTGTGTTCAGAAGGGCCTAATGGTTGGCTTAATGCTCGGGCTACTATTGTCTTGAAGTTCTTTAGAATTTTATCATTGAACTTGTGTTTTGTAAGTGTCATCTGTTGGGACAGTGGGGTATGCACAGAGACAGAAGATACATGTGACAGGTGTGCTTGCCATTCTTTGCCACCCTAGTCATACACAGCATTCTTGATGCTCCTTGGGTATAGAATTCCTGTGGACCTGAGTAAGTGGAGCCCCTGACACCACAGGAGGCCACACTGTTCATTCAAACCAGAGTTGCTTTGACAGCAGAAGGAAGACAATGCTGTTCTCAGAAACATGAGTGACTATGAAACTGCTATCATATTCTCTCCTACCCGCTTTCTCGCTGTACTTGCCAGCACTTGTTCTGAGTGCTGTAACAGAAGGAGAGGGAAAGCGAGGCAGCAAGCTGCGTTTCCTTTAAGTCTTTGCTTACTTGGCGGGAAACTGATGGTGGTGGAACCTGAGCTAGAAGATGCAGGTATCAAGAGTTGAGTTAATTTCCACAGTTCTGCCAAGACGGGAAGACGTATTGATATGTGAGCCACAAAACAGAACTTGTGTAATTTTAGTTATTCCACATATGAATTAAAAGCTTTATATTTGCACTAAAACTGATGTTAAACGATATAAAGATGAATGGCAGAATTCATGCTAATAATTCAGATTAATTTGTTTTCTTTATTTCTTTTTTTTTTCCTGTTAGTTTTATTTAAGGTTTATAAACTTCATGCATTTCATACATACCACTTTAAAAACAAAGTGATTCTTTCCACCATATCTGCCCTCCCACCTGCACTCCCACTCTTGTTCTTCCTCCCTCTCCTGTTCCCATTCTTATTTTTTTCTAAGATCTATCTTCCATTAACTTTGTTTTCTTTATTTTGAATGACATTACAGAGGAAAAAAGAAAACCTAGAACAAATTGAAGGAGGGCCTACAGAATTATGTTTTAGTATCATTGTCAACCTTTTTACCAGTTAAAAGCTTTTTTTTTTTTTTTTAATTTGGGGGGGGGAGAGAAAGAGAAAGAGAGAGAGAGAGAGATTCCCATCTTTTGGTTCATGCCCCAGCTGGAACTGGGCTGGGCTAAGCTGTGAATGTAATTGAGGTCTCCCACATGGGTGACAGGAAACCAATTTCTTGAGCTGTCAGTGCTGCCTCCCAGGGTCTGCATTGTGGGAAGCTGGAGTCAGAAACTGAACTCAGGCACTCAGATGTAGGAAACATTCATCTTAATTGCTAGGCTAAATGCCTGCTCCTTTACTGATTTTGAGCAAGGAGCTTAATCTTTCATTTTGCAAAGAGCCCGGCAAATTATACAGCCAGCTCTGATGCCAATGGTGAAAGAAGAAATGTTTTGGGCACATTTATTTTTTACTTATTAACAATAATTCCAGTAATAATTCTGATTTCCTGGTGGCATTCTCTCTCATTTCAATGGTCAGAAAGGAGTTGAGATGACATTTGGCCTCACAAATGCACCTGTGACAAGACTGGTTAATCAGAATATTGAATTTGGAGATCTACATTTGATCATGGCCTGTCAATGCAGATCACAAGACTTGTGTAAGAATTAGCAAGAAGGAGATTCTCCTTTGTTTCTGGAATTTAGCCTAAGGAAATGTGAGTCTGGGCCAATTACAGGACACCATGGAGAGCATGAGTAATGACACAGAGAATGGCAAAAAGCAGGAGTAGAATCCAAGTCCTGGTGATATCACTGGTGTCTGGATCAATCTATGCCTGAAGTTAGTGAAATAGTCAGTAGTTGAGATGTACAGTTTGGCACATGCTCACTCAGACTTACCCCTAATGGTAGAGCTAGAAATGTGCCATAGGACTCCAAATCCCATTAAGTTGGCATGTCCCAGTGCCATCTTACTACTCAAATGATCAGTTTAAGTTCATAATTGTTCATAATGATAGGATTAAGTGTCAAAGGGATCACATAAATAAGACCAGTGTCTGCTAATAATAATTGATATAATTAAAAAGGAGAGAATGACCCAACATGGGAAGTGGGAAACAGCAGACTCACAGAATGGCAAATGCCCTAAACAGCACTCTGGCCTCAGAATCAGCCCTTAAGGCATTTGGATCTGGTTAAAAAGCCCATGAAAATTTCTCAGACATGGAAAGCCAAGACACTATTGCAAAAAATGACTAAATGAAAGATCTCTGTGAGTGAGATCCCAGTGGAAAGAGCGGGCCATCAAAGGAGGAGGTACTGTTCTCTGAAGGGAGGAGAAAACTTTCACTTTGATTGTGGCCTTATCTAAATAAGGTTGGAGTTTGTGAACTCAAGAGGCTTCCATAGCCTTG